ATTTTAAATTTTTAAATTAGGGGGTTTGTTTATTTATAGTATTTTTAAATTTATTCCAGTTGATGTTTTGCGTGTGCAGTACATAGGTGGGAATGTGCGGAGGAGGGGTTTGATGTGTAGGAATAAGTAGGTGATCTAAATCTAGTTCGAAATGAGGAAATGAGTGAAAATTAGATCGCTCATGATTTTAAACATCATGGGACCTGTTATATTGGAGGTTCTGCAACCCCAGCTTGAATTTTTAGCATTTAGATCACCGATTTACAATACGGGTGTGTTTTATTGAATTAATGTAGTTATATTTGTATGATTTATATTACTTTTCAGAGGTATGTACGCTACTATAACTGTTATCAGTCTATTGCTTAAAAGGACCTTGATTGCGGTCGTTTCCAATCCGGGAGTACATATGAGGTTGGTTTGTATGTATGGGATCTTTTATGAATGAGTACGCCACCGCTATTTTGGTTTTGTCTACCATTTCTGATTACATTGCATCCCGGTATGCTGGAAGAAGTATTTGGATAAATTTCAGCTATGCAAGAAATTTTTATTAATTTGTCATTTAGAAATTGTGTTAATTCTATTTGTGTTGTTAATGCCCTTACCATTCCAATTCAATAGATTTATTATTACTTTCCCGTATACGTACGTATGTACGGATAATGTACATAGTATAGGGAATGTAATAGGAGGCGTATGTAATGCTGCGGAAAATCGATTCCGAGATTTCAAGGGAACTACACGTTTTGGGGTTCCCAGGTACGGAAAAAGGGTATTTTTCAAAACGTGCGTCTGTCCGTCCGTCTAGTGTCTGTGAACACTATTAGAGCCTAAACCATACGTAGGATTCTTTTCAAATTGAATAAATTCGTGTCAACCTGGCTAGGGTCGAATCTTTGAAATTTTGAAAAATACTTTAAAATTTGGGAGTACTTTACATGAAGCACTCCGGACATTTTCAAAATCTTCTCAAAAACAGCACTAATTTTTTTTTTGAATTTCTTGTAAGAATGGAGTAAAATGCACTTATCGGTGGAATATATCCAATTTTCGGGTTTAACTATGAATTTTTGAAAATTTCAAAATTTCAATTTTTTTTCGAAGTCTTCTTACAACTACAAAATAGAAGATAGAGATTTTTCTTTCAAATAACATTTGCTCTCCATATTAAGTTCTTTCATTAAAGTATTATTTATTTTTTTGAAAATTTCAGTAGTTTTCACGCATTATTGAGAGGAATATGTGTAATTTTAAAAAAATTACAAAATTAAGGTTACAAAAAACGGCTCTAAATGTTTTTTTTTTAACTTTTGATAGGGATAATGCTAAATGTGCTCCATAAGATGACATAGACGCAATATTGTTCAATTTTTAATTTTTCAAAACTACAAAAATGTAATTTTTTACTTGTCTCTCACGTCATTAATTATTAATTATTAGTACACATTAGTATTACACATTATTCTTACACATTATCGGCGATTTGTTCACATTATCATATTTATGAGTACATGTGCTTTAAATAATATCAGATAAAGTTACTCGAAAACGCAACCGTATTCAGTGAAAACTAACTCAAAATTCCGCATTTTCTGAAACGCTCAAATGCCATTTTCTCAAAAACGGTTACAAATATTTTCTCCAAATTTTTCTAATGGATAGTGATAATTGCAATCTTTAATGTGACATAAAGTTTTGTTTTTTTTTTTCAAAAATTATACAATTTGTTTTTTGAAATATCTTTTACACTGTTAATATGCACATTTCTAGCAATTCGTAAACACTAATGTATTTGTGAGTTAACGTACTTCAAATTACTTCAAATGAAGGTTTTTGAAAACAAAATTTTTTCGTTAAAAATAGGTGCAAATTTCGAATTTACAGTAGCGTTTGAGCGCCATTTGCTTACAAACAGCTCCAAATTATTCAAAGAAAATTGTCATTTAGACTATGTTTTACTGTTTTTTAATATTCTCAAAATAATATTTCCGTTCTACTAGGAAATCGAAAATTAAGAAAACTTTGAAAAAAAAAAGTTCTTTGAGCGGCGATAGATGGCTGCTGACAAGAGTATGTGGCAAGTTTGTACAGCTAGCTGGAACCAAAGGAAATAAAAAACTAATACGGGAAAGTCTGTGTCATTCTGTAGCACTATTAGTTTCATTATGGCGTTGTCATGTCATGATTATTGATAAAAAGTTATGTGAGTGAGTTTTGAACATTATTGATTATTGTTGGGATGATGGTGTTAATGAAGTTTATTATATGGGAAAATATTAGAGTTTATTAATTTGTGTATGAATATATTAATGTTGTTATTAGCGTGCATTTTGTGTTGTGGTATGTTTTGATCGGACTAATTAGGTCTTGGTTGGGAAATTGGAGTCTAAGTGAAATATGGGATATTGTTGGTTGGAGAAAGGTATGGAAAGATTTTTTTGGGAATAGTGGAAGTTTATTTCCATTATTAGTTTCTGAGTTATTTATTTCATTTCTTTTGGATTTGGATTCCACGCTTTTGGTGGTAATATGGGCACTGTTCTGTTCGAAAGTCAGCTCGATGAGCCCCCTTGACAGTTTACAAATAGGAGGAACACTTTTCTGAGGACACTTTGCTCATTAGTGATCTCCATGGCAATATTTACACGCTATTACTCGGTTATTGTTGAAGTCTGTTGAGAATTGATTTGTTAATTGCATTTTAATTTTTCTGTTGAACTTGGATATGTTTGGCACACTGTTTACATTGATAAGTGAAATTCTTATTTTTTCATTATTCTACGGAGCACTTTCATTTACGTAGCTGAATCTGTTTTCGTTTTCGGTTAGTTCGTCTAGAGGGGCGAATCTGTTACTCACTGGCACTGAGTATGGATCTAGATCACTGCTAGTGGATTTTTATTTGGTTGGGAGCTCAAATCCGAATCTCTGTTATTGTGACTTCTTTTTCCGAAGTTAGAGTTTATGAAGTTAGGGGTCATGATTGCTGAAGGAGGCCTTATTCGGTACATTAGGTACATTGCTCAGTAATGTAGATAAATCAAGTTTCATTGCAGAAGATTTGTCGGCAACAAAAGCCAGGGTACGATAAGAAATATTTTGGTGATATGAAAATTCTCGTAGATTATAATGGAGACAAAATATCTTGTTTGTACATTGAGGAATTTCATAGAGTTCGTAAACATGAAGGACTAAGTCCAACAAAGAAAATTAACAAAAATCATGTTAACTACAAAACTCCAGAAAGAAAGTGTACTTTCCAGGACAGGTTTTAAGTAATTAAGTTGCCAAATCTTTATATTATTTGAAGGGTTTTGATGCCCACAATATATAACCAAAGCTTTCTCGATTTTTCCCAAGAAAATAATTTCTTTTAAGGGGTTAAGTGGGTTTTATAAAATAGCACTGACGTTAACTTAACTATTTGAGAATCATATCACAGGAACAGCAATTGAAAATATTAAAAAACTATAATATCATAAAAACTATAATTTTGAGGGTTATCAAATCTTTCGCATAGAATGCAGCAAAAATATTTTAAATGTAATACTGCTACAAAAGTAAAATTGTTACATAATAAAGAAAAAAATTTCAAAAGGATGCGAAGTTGTGCTTCTTAAGGGTAATGATTGGATCGTTTTCTGAATGAGGCAATAGCGTAGGTGAGTTTGATCTAAAAACTTCATCTCAGCAGTTAATAAGTAAGTCTGAGAAAAACAGAATTATAGATTTTTTCTTAGATTTTTTCCAGAGGCTTTATAAAAACCCTATTGATACTAATAAAATACCAAAAAAGTCTTCTTACAAGTATTTTATGTAATGAGGCACACACACGTAAATTCTTTCCGTCGTTAGTAACAACTTTTCGCTGATACGAAAACAATCGAGACACCAGGCCCCTGGGAGCACTTCTTTGTCATCCTTGAGATTTTGTGCTAATCAGTAGGTTCTAAATAGAAGCGTTTCCTCAAAACATTGCCCTCCCCCGACAAAGTCCCCAACAAACTCCTCACTCAAACAGGGCTGTACCAGATATCCTCAAAAGTGCAAAAATAAAATTCCATGACAATTTTATTTCGTTGGGGAGGTGTACGTGTGTCTTCCTCCCTCCTCCCGCCCACGAGAGCAACACCTGTGTAAATGAGTGCTGAGAGTTCACTGCGTAGAGTTCGCGTGAGATATCTTCGCAATCAAACAATTTTTTTTTTTTCAATCGGATTTTAACGGTCGTCGAGTGTACTGATACGGCAGTGCGGCGCGTCGCCTCGCGTCGTCTCGTGTCGCATCGCGTCGGCCTCAACCGCCCAGGCGTAAG